AATATAAATCTGATGAGTATGACTACTTGATTATTCTAGGTTTGCAGACCACTACACAATACCTACAATTTTTGGAAGTTTGGAGAGCTTTTAGCAAGCTTTTGCAGACAGTCTGTGGTCGTTTTTTCTGCAGAGAACTAACGTGGCGTTTTTTTTTTGCCTTGTGGGCTGAATTGTTATGTCGAGGTTTGAACGCTTCCACAAAAGCGTATGCTTCATAGATTATGAACAGCGCGTTTTGTCTAGAACTTTGTACAGCTACCTAAACACTGGCACTCTTTTATAGGGTTTCATCCCAGGTGAAACTACTACTGCTATCACTTCCACCGACTCGTGCAAAAGAAATGAACTCGAGATGTTCTAAATTGTTATGGCCCCGTAAATCAATTATTGCTGCTGTTACTTTGTTCATAACGATTGTAGCTGCCATATTCTGGCTTCCATCGAAATATCTTCCAGTAGCAGTTGTAAGTAAGTTCCATCTTTTTACGAACTTATAATAGCTCAGTAGAAGAGTTAAAGAACGGCTCTATTTTATATTTTTGAAATTACCATCTTCGTGGCGAAAGTGTGCACCTTCGTGTTGCTTGAGGACAGCGCCCGTGACTACACGACGCGCCAGGGCACATCTTTGGTTGGGGACTCAGGTCGAGTCTGTACGACCGTACGCCCCCCCCTTTCCCTCCGCCCTCTGTTCCTCCTCATCGAATCGAGCCGTCGAGCGGGGGAGGGTATATAGTACGCATGAAACAGGAAAATCACCAAAAGTCAACCACCACTCCTACAACGCCAAAACGTAAATACGACCCCCTCCCAACAATGACCAAGTACGACCCCCTTCCCTTTACAACGCCCCTGAAAAGAGATCAAACGGGGGGGGGGCGCTACAGGTTGGGATGGCTACTCGAAGACGGCCACCCACCAGATGAAGGGATCTGGAGGATGTCGAGCCTTCCTTAGTCGCTTTGAGCGCGTTTTCCCAGCATAAGGCATCGCACCGCGTCTACTTGAAGGGCACGCTCCTCTCTCCTGCTGGGCAAACTCACGCTACATACGTAGTTATCTTGCCTACGCCCTTTTAGTGATGGAATTTTTTTTATATCAGCGATGCCTTCAGAGAAGTTCACAGGTTCCTCATGTTCTTCTTCACTGGTTCCTGTTATAGAAGATGGAACTCGTAATTTTTGACGCTTCTTTCGGCCAAATTCACTCAGCTTTTGATGCTGATGTAGATATCATAGTTATGGCCATAGAGCACTAGTAGCCAAGAAGATTCACGAAGATGAGTGTAGTGAACCGAGTTGACAACATAAAACACAACTATACTTGCTACATAGTGCGAGATGTTCTGCGGTGATAGACTTTTTTTCAGAGCGTTTTAGCATTGGAAGGGATGGAATCAATGGGACTCGTGCACATTACGAATGCATGAAGGCACTGATGGCAGACAAACGTTGGGGGTATGCGATGCTCATGCAGGTCCTATTTTCGGATTTTTGACACACTGTAATAGAACTTGCTGGTCTGCAATTTTGTAACAGTGTGAAGTATTATCATCAAAATTTTAAGACGTCATGATCAAAAATGTATATGTAACCGTTTCTATATTACGAGCACTAGGGGGTGCGAACGACGTGCACGCAAGACCATGCGAAAGGAGACGCTATGATCACCGCCTGAAATGGGATGTTCGTTCGCTGAAGTTCTATCGAAACGGTAGGCTATTCTTTTATGGGACAAACGAAAAATTCAAACGTTCAGAAATACTGTGATGATACGAGGCACTTTCCGCGATAAAATAAGGCTATGACCTTTCAAATGTGTCAGACGATCCGGAAGGAGATTGCGGAGGCTGCGCTACCTTTAGAAAGTGAAAATCCGCAAGAATTCCGCTTCAAGCTAACCAATTAGGCCCAAGGGCGCCCCTTAGGCCCATGCCGACCCCCACCGGCTGCTAGCTACTAGCTAGTAGCCACTATGCTATCTCTCTCCATTCCGAATGGTGAGAGTGAGGTGATACGATAAAAGAGCTGATATCTTCATGGGAATTCGTACAAACATGCGTTTTCTTCATTTCATGCTTGGGGTCGATATGGAATCCTATTTAGGGCATTTTCGGCTGTTTTTCTGCTGCTTTTCTCCGCTAATCAGATACCTAGCCCTTTTTCGTTCCTATGTGGGTTCCGTTACCCACAATCTGTGGTCGCGGGCTTTGCCTTTAAATCGCTGAAACACGAGAAAGGTTTGAACTATTCTCCTACAATGATTTATTGCTACAGCAAAAATAGCTGCTCAGCACTATCATTCATGGCTAGGCTTGGTTTCGCAAAAATTGTCTGAGAAAAAATTATCTGAAAAATTATCTATGTCCGAGAAATCGAATAACAGTGTACTGCTTCCCTCTGCAGCCTATTGAACTCGCTGCAATTGAATCTGAGGAATTATCTAGAGGGGGAACGACCCCAACTCACTTGAACACATCGCATTTCAGAAACATTCGAAAGTGATCCTTCGGAAAGTTTAGAGGTCGCTTTATCACCTTGCAACACAGTCTCTCACTGATACTATGCAGTGCAATCACACGGAAGTGCTTGTTTGCTCTCCAAGCTCACTGAACTTGCTCCTGAAACGTTGATTTCAGAAAGTCAAATGACACCATCTCAATTGAGCGCATCACTCACGTTTGCTCGAGGTGCAGTGCATGCTTCGCTGTCACGTGCTGCCGTCGACTGGATGGTGA